ACTTTGAAACTCCAACACATGTAAAAACTGTACTTATTAATTAATGCACATCTTCCACATTTCCTTCCAAGTCCTTAAAGGAATTTTCCAATGCAGAGATCTTAATTCTGACATGATTTCTTTCATTTGTGTTCCAGCAGAAGGTATTTTCTGCCCTCTTCTCTGTTTTATTTTGCCTGCAAGTGAAACACCCTTTCTACCGGAGATCAGAGAGTTTCCTTTAAGCTATGCTTTGTGAATTTTCTTTCTGGCAGGCTATAAAGAACTGTTTGATATATGTGTCTTTCCTGTTTCTTAACATCATAAAAAAAGGTTGGGTGATGTTTTTGCTCATGTAACTAGAAAATATTTGCGGCTAAATGTAAGACTAGTAACATAAATCTTCTTCATTAGTATCCAGAAGCATAATGCCACAATAACCTACTGCAACTAAAATGCAGGGAGGATGGGAAAGAAAATGGGAACAAGCAGAATGACCAAATAATTGGTCGCTAACTGAAAATCAGTGGCTCACTCCTCATTTCGTCCTAAGAGCCCAATGGCTTGAATAACTATTAGCTTAACAGGCCAACTCTGAGTATTTCCAAGGCCTGGGAGCCACAGAGATGTGCACCAAGGTTCCGGACTCACAAAAGGAGCCATTGTAAGTGGTGGCTCCCAGCAGATGCCATTTACAGGGGAAGTGTTAGACATGGAGAATATAATCACAGAAACCAATGGAAAACAGAAAACTGAAATATGTGCCTGTATTTGTTTGAAAAGAAAGTCAGTCATAGATGCATTATAGAAACATGAACTATGAACATAAAGTAATCATGACTGCGGATTAAACAGCCTGTTAAAATTATTTTTTTTTTCTCTTGCCTTAATTTTCCATCTGATTAAAATTTCCCACCAAAGACCCTCAGACTTACAGAGCTTTGATTCTGGCAATGCATTGCAGCTCTGGCAGGTAGCCAGCCTTTTATTTTTATCTCTCAGCCCTTTGGTCTTTTCTTCATGTATTTCTCATCTTACAGTATTTTTCCTCTAGTCACAGAACATACGTAAACAACCAGAATTATTTTTGGAGTACAGAAGCATAACATACTCTATTTCTGGTCTAACAAGAGATCATATTCTTGCAGATTCTTACTTTTTTTCAATGATTAGTTTTGGGCAAACATTTGTCTGTAAACAGGATACATTTATTAGGTATTTTATTTTATGCTGCTGAGAAACAGTCAAGATCCCTAAATATGGCAAAATAAAACTAATACAAATATTAAAATTGTTTTTTTTCTAAATTAGATTACATTCAGACTGTTGACACAAACTGCTGACTTTTCAAAAATATTATCCAAAGACAATATACTCAACACTATGTGCATTGCAAACCCACCTCCAAATCCTCAAAGACATGTTTACCAGAGTGCTTAAGAACATAGAAAAAATGGTAAATTGCTTTTTGAATCTCAAAATGCTTAACCGCACTCAATGCTTTGTCACCTTCAAGCCTACCTCAATGAAAGGATGTAACATCTACAGCATTTACATCTTCTTTTTGTTCTTGTGAAACTTGACAGAACTAAGTATTGATCAGAGCTTTGAAATACTTTTTCACTGATATTTGTAATTGCAATTAGTAACTTGTGACAGGTTTGTTTTGTCTGAATGTTCATTTTAAGGTTACTGTCACTACTTTTTAATGTCCAGTTCACATACATCCTATATTAGATTTACTAGAACTAAATCCAAAAATGCCTTTACACATGTTCATGCTTTATTGACTTCAACTTTTACCTATATATCCTCTGCAATGTATGCCTTCTAAATATGGTTTTCTTACTGAATCAGCAACAGTCCATCTTAAGCCCAAGTAAGTCTACAGTAAATCTGTCAATTGAAATTTTCAAATGTGTTTGCCCTCCCAAACAGCCATCCTGTAAAATTGTGCCACTCGGAGACATCACTCCCTGGCTTTTATAAGAAAATTATAAGTGGCTTTTATTTAAATTGTAACTTATAAGTGGCTTTTATAAGAAAATTCATGCCAAAGTTAAAAAAAAAAATCCTGGCAAATACTTGTGCATTTTACTACTTAGTATGTCCACAGCAATCACTAAGTCTGATTGCTTTGACAGCTTTTTAACCCGAGCTGCTGACTCCAAGACTCTTCTGTCCTTCCCATCCCAAATTCTGCCACAGAGCCTGACATTACTGAATGTTAAGACCTCCCTCCCACCATCTACTTGGTTACAGTTTTTTCCTTAAAGAGTATAGTAACTGTAAGACATTCTACATAATTAGTACATTCATGGGTATATATATTAGCTGTGTTCTTCATACACTGAAAAAGCATGAAATGCTAGAAATACTCTGAATTAATTACATATATATTTCCCTCCTTACTTGTCATGACACAATGTGTGAATATTTTATGGACACTCTAAATTGTCCTTTGTGTTTTTGCATTTTGCATTCCCTCTTTTTCAGTCAAATCTGTTGACTCCAGTTGGCGACCTACTTCTTTTATTTCTTTGGACCAATTTGCTGCCAGAGTCATGCAGCCAAAAAGGTAAAAAAAGGGTCTACAACTGTTTCTTCAGACACCCATGTTGCTTGTGGTGCTCACTCTGAATTTGTCAGAAAAATTATTGAGGGTAACATATTAGATGAGAATGAGAGCACACAACTGCAGATAAGCCTTGATTCTTTGAAGGTACTTCTCACACCACCTCTAGAAGTACCTTCTTGCTTAGGATGAGTTTCCGACTTGCTTTGACATCCTCACATGATGGTGCTCTCAATTGATTAATTTCCTTAAAAACAACAGTTTCAAAAGCTTTCATTCTTTCTGTGAATGTTCTTCATTAGAGACAAGTAAGCTATGATGGATTTTGAAACACTTTTATTGAGTTCCATGTAAATTAATAAAAACACCATTAATAATAAGCAGACATTAATTCTTGTTCATATGTGTGCACAATGAAATATTTATCCAAGATTTTAGTTCTGCAAGCTGCAGAAAAACTAGTGGAGACACTTGGGGTCTTGCTAAAGATCCAAGATATTTTGCTACTTTTGAGAAATCTGAATTCATCAGTTCTGAGTTGCCTCCTTCATCTTTTACCTGCCCTCTGTGCATGTAACAAGCTACAAAGCTCATATGTTGCCCCTTTTATCTTGCTCAAAGCATCTTTGATTGGAACTATAAGTCTTGAGCAAATGCAGCAGGAAGTGTTTCCCCACAGTCTAACCAAACATAGGAACCCAAATTGCATCTTGCAGCCAGCCAGAAATCCAAGGTAACTTTTGTGGCAAACTGACTTTTTTTTTTCTGGAAACCTAAAGAAAGTTCCTGAGTTTCTATTTATATGTATGACTTTTCAGGATGAACTTTCCTCTAAGAATTTCAGTTCATGTTGCATATATTATACATTGGCCAAGTGTGATTAAAAGCTTTCAGCTGCAGCTTCTATGTAACAAAGATGTTCCATTTACTGGGATTCTATTTTTTTCCATTAAACAAAAGTTCCTAACATTTCCAGTGGAGCAATCATATAGAAGATACTCCCTTGAAGGAGCACTGATAACCACAAAACTCATGAAAAGCAATTTGCCTTATCATTTGCTTACTGCAGCCATTTATAGGGGAATTCCACGTACTTCTTCGTGCCTATCCAAAGGGCAGCACAAGATCTATATATCTCAATGAGTACCTATGGAAATTATCAGTATCCTTGATTTTAATAATTTTACCTCTAATTTTAACATAAAAAAATTCGGTCAATAGTCTGCTTGCTTGTCCTCATCTACAAGCTTCTGGCAGCACATACTCAGGTTTAATGACAGCCTTGGTTCTGTTCCAGGAGATTATTTAAAAAAAAAACATTCTGATGAAAAAATCAGCCGTGTTTAAATAGCCACGTAGTCCAACCAGACAATTTTAAGGTTTTGGCTGTTTTTTATCTCTTACAGACCCTTATCAGGCCAATATACACATACACACAGACAATATTAATGGAGAGCTTAGTAATGTGTTTGTGCCTAGATGTCATGATCTACTGAACACATTACAGTAGGTGCATTACAGGGAGTGCATTATTGCTGCTCTGTGTTTCCACAGCCAGGCTTATTCAAAAGACCAAGGAGCTTAGCTTAACACTGGTCACCTCAGGTATGCCTTGATGATGTATCTTAAATGTGACTACTTAGAACATAAACAAGGACGTATATATACACTTTAATACTTATCAGCAATTTACTGTAAAAGCAGTAGTGGCTGATAAGCTACCAATTATCCTTCTCCCATGTGCTACATATTTGTTGGAGATCCTAACAACAGTGCTGGAGAAAGGACATCAAATGATGCTTAGAAATGTGATACACATTTTCATTTCACACTCCATCAGTTTTTACAACTAGAGCTCCATGAAATGTATGAGAATACTTGGCTAACAGCCATATCTACTGAGCCGTAAAATAAGAATCAGATCTCTTTTTAAAAGGGTTTCATTTTTTTTTACATTACTAAATCAGATGTTGACCTTTTTCCCAAAATATACTGTAAATATTCTGCACCTTTCTACCCATCAATTAATTTTGAATCTCTGAATAGTGTTTAGACCTGTTTTAACAGATATGTAATCAATACATATTTTTTTAAAAGCAGCTTTGTAAAAAAAAATAAACTGATACATCCTTCCACTAAAGTGAAATATACTGAATTATATAATTACTGGTGTTTAATCTTTTCAATTCTAGTAAGTTCTTTCCCCATCTTGCATCTAGAAACAAGAAACAAGTGTATTATTGCCTTTCTAGTCAGCAAAGCAAAGCTACAGGCATCAGCAAAAACATATTTTGAATTCAGATTTCAATCTGTCAGAAAAGATTAAAGCTTCATGCATATATAAATGGGAACTATAAAATGATAACAGATACATAGCATGGAATCATTTTGCTTGAACAGCTGTGGATTTGCCAGTGTAGTAAAGCAGAAAATGTCTTTTACTCACCTCTGTTAAACCAGAAACTTCTCCTTTTGCTAACGGTCTGCTGATGGATGCAGTATGAATTCTGGCATCTGATACTGGCTGCCCCTTCATAAAATGTTTCCCAGCTTCATAAATATTCACTTCTACCATCTTACCCATCAACAGAGGATCCTTTGGCACAAGAACCTTTCAAATAAAATAAAGACATAGTTGCTAAACACCACAAGGAACATTAGAGTCTCTAGTATCCATTCAGAAAACAGATTTTTGATAATCATCAGAGAAAATCCTAAAACTTAAACATTTTAATCACCAGCGTATCCTACAGCCCTACAGCCCCTGGCACACTTGACCAGTAAGATCTCCAGCCTGCATTCTACAAGAGCTTTGCAGTGTTAGCTCAGCTCTCTTCAACTCCAACCTTAAGTCATGCTGTTTGATTGATACAAAAGTTGGGCCTGAATTGCAGCTTTTGAATCCAGACCCAAACAATTCCCAAGGACGTTTGTATGACACAATTCTAACAGACTATTGTAAAGCTTCCCATTTTCATCTGTGTCCCATGACACTGTTAAAAATTTTTTTTCTGAGTCTGTGAAGGCTTCAGGACAGAAAGTATACACTTTTCTCTCTTTGTACAAGCCTTTATTTTGATTGTGCAGATCCTTTTTGCTGTGATGCATGATTGACAATGAATGCCTGTAAAAATAGATGACTGTTTCTTGGGTCAGCAACTAATGCACTCTTTCCTGAATTTGCACAACCGTGATATCAGACAGTCCCACTTCAGAAAAAAGCACAAAACAGAGGTTCCTAGGTCATGCATTTAAAAAATGAAAGAGCCCAAAACACAGGAGCAAGATTTTTTGGAATGGAAGAATAAATAGACTTAAAATGGCTCTAAAATAGGTAAGCAGTTGAAAAAGAAGTCAAGTAATTTCTTGATGAAGTTACAGTTTTTTACACTGTTTACAATGCAAAATTTAATAATGAACATTTCATCAGTGAAATGTTATTTAACAAAGTTTACTTGAAGCTTATCCACACACAGAATCCCAGGATGGGTCAAGTTGGAAGGTACCTCAGAGGGGTCATCTGAACCAATCTCCCTGTTCAAGCAGGGACATTGTAGAGCACATGGCACAGGATTGAACACAGACAGTTCTGGAATTTTTCCAGTGAGGGAGACTCCACACACTCTCTGGGAAATCTGTCCCAGTGCATGGTCATCCACACAGTAAAGAAGCTCTTCCTCATGTTCAGGGGGAATTTCCCGTGCATCAGTTTCTGCCTATTGCCTCTTGTCCTACAGCTTGGCACCACCTAGGAACAGTCTGGAAACATCCTCTGACACTTTCCTCTCAGATGCTTTTGGACATTGATGAGATCCTGTCTCAGTCACCTCTTCTTGAGGATGAACAGGCCCAGCTTTCTCAGCCTTTCCTCATGAGAGAGGTGCTCCAGTCCCTTGATCACCTTTGTTGCTCCTCCACTGGACCCATTCCAGTAGCCCTGTGTCTCTTGTCCTGAGGAACCCAGAACTGGACACATCACTCCAGGTGTGGCCTTGCCAGGGCCAAGTAGAGCTTTTCATAGGAAAAGATCTTATCTTTTTATCTTGATTCTTGGATGCTGAAATTGAAATACCTTAAAAACGGCTTAATTTTTAGAACTACATGTGTAGAGGACTTTCAGAGAAAAAAAAACCTGTGCTACCCATATTTGGAGACCATTTTTCTGCCTCTCCATTTTCACCTATCAGAACTGTTGATTGTCCCACTTGGAGGAAATCACCACCAGTGGTTTCCCTTCTTTCCTGAAGGCTCAAGGTGTTCATGACTGTAAGAGGTTCAAGATCCTAGGATTCTGCTGAGCTTCCTAAGCATCTTCCAAGAAACGCAAAAATCTTTGCCTTTCAGAGACAGGCAAGCTGAGACTAAGCAAACACAAAGTCAGGATCCTAATGCTCAGAGTATTACAATGTGACTGGATCACAGTTCTTCCCAAGTAACTCATCTTGGGTAAATTTATATCAAAGGGACACTAGGTTTGCTGAGTATACACTGGGCTCATAACCTCTGTAAATCTTCTGTCTCCTCATGAAAAAAAAGGTAGTAACTAAATATAAACCCAACTTCAGAAAAAGAAACAGGTTAAATGAAAATAACTGGGAGATACCATAAACAACCAAGCATCCAGGCTTGGTATACACTCAGATATGTTTTGAAGTATTTGTTAAGAAAAAAACCCTCAACAGTATTTCTAAGAAACTAAGGTAAACCAGCAGAAACTCTCACCTTGGCTGTGGATCTGGCAAAGCCTTCTTTGGTCACTTTAGACTACTCTGTTCATTGTAAACTGTATCACTTAAGCCTCCACAAATGTCAGCTGCAGCTTTATCACTAAGTTTGTCTGTGTAGCTGTATTGATGTGGGTTTAATAGCAAATTCTTTCAGTACAGATGAGCTCAGTGAAGACAGAATACATTTGATAACTATTTGAATTAACAGAACACCATACCAGGACTCTGAGCTTCAGCTCAAATAATATATAATATAATAGTTAGAATTTAGAGTGGTTTTCAATTTACTATCATTCAATTTATTGTTATTAATCTTAGTTACGAGCATGGATTCTTGTGCTTACCTGGGTGAACAGTAGGATACCATCCTTATGAAACATGCCACATATAAGATTTTAAGAAAAAGATTTGCATTTTGTTAATGGGAAGCATTTATTCCCTAACAGAATTTAAAATGAGTCCCTACGTGACTATTGGTATTTTGTAAATTTACCAGTTCCAATCATGAGCTGCATTAGGTGCTGTACAAACACAACACAAAAAATCAACACTTTGTTTCTGGTACATATTGCTTTTCATTTAATTAATTAAGCTTCCATAAAACAATGAACAGAAAAGTCCCAAGACATTTCTTTTTAATCTCTATGTGGAAAACCATGTTGCTCAACTGACTGATAAACTACAAAATCAAGGAGCATCAATACATAAGACTTAGAAGTTGGATATGTAACAAAGAAAATAAAAAAGAAAGCAAGGAAAAAGAATTAGTGACTCAGATATCTAACAGAAACAGATATTTTAAGAATAGAAATGTTACTTACTACTAAGAAAAAACAAATTAATAAATTCCATAACATAAGCCAAAACCAGAAGAAAGCACAGCTATCATCTATAATCTTCCTAGGTTCAGAAAACAGAATACCTAATGGTAGCAAAAGCAAATTGTAGACAGCTTAGTGCAAGAAAATGCACTAAGAATATAAAATAAAATCATGATGATTCAGGAGAACAAATTTTATTGGTCTTAAGCAACTCACCAGCTTTTGAGCAAAAATAACAATTTTGTGAAATTGATGCGTGTGCTTCCTTCCCAGCTCAAAGATAATGTTTTTGTGTGGCAAGAATTTATCTACAGGAAGTACACAGAAGGAAATTAAAAAAAACTAGAAGGAAGGCATGCCATTTAGGGGGCCCTACACAAGCCTGAGAAGTAAATCCACAAAATCATAATGAGTTTCAACAAGTCCAAGTGCAAGGTGCTGCAGCCAGGTTGGGGCAATCCCAGACACAAGTACAGACTGGGAGAAGAACTCATGGAGAGTGAGTACTTTCCTGCTGAGAAGGACTTGGGGGTGCTGGTGGTTGAGAGGCCAGACATGAGCCAGAAATGTGCACTTGCAGACCAGAAAGCCAATTATCTCCTGGGCTGCATCCAAAGAGGGGTGGCCAGCAGCGCCCCTTCCAGCCCAAACCATCGTATGATTCTATGAAACACAATATGCCATGCTGAAGTGTTAATCTAAAAAAGTTTCTGACTCTTCTATTGTTAGATTTTTTTTTTTTCAAATTGCACTGCCTGCAACACTTTTCAGAAACATTTATACAAATTGTCAGGACTCAACTATTCAGAAATCAGTGCTTTGGGGACATTAAAATTAAAATTACTGCAACAATTAACAGCTTCTTAAACCACACTGTACACTCAAATATCCACGGTGTATTTCTTAACATAATTTCAGGTAAATTATATTTACAACACAATAATAAAACAAATTATCTCATAAAAAAGTCTTGATGGTCACATGTTTCCTGGAAAATGCTTCTTATTTCTCTACTAGACTTTTTTTTTAATCCTGACACTCTGTGTTGCTGAGATTATCAGAAAGCAAAGATAAAACAAAAATATGTTATTTGGTTTATTTAACTGTACCTGCTCATAGAAAGGATTGTGAGCAACATAGTAATTGGAGTCAAAGGATTCTTCTGTTACCAGAACTCTCTGCCTCTCACCAACCTGGAAAATAGAAGATGAGAGATGACTCAAAAATTAAAACCAATGAATTATACTGAGAACTTCAGCTACAAACAAATGCCCTTAGCAGAAATAATGAAATTCTCTGAGGAAACTCAGTATCAGTAAGAAAGCAGAGTAGAGAAAACCCTACTTACAGGAGTCTAAAACTGACAGGGTTAAAAGAATTGAGGGATAGAACTGAGGGGCTGTAATGAAAAAAAAAGAGGGGCCTAACATGAAAATCCAGTTCAGAAATATAAACTGATTTTTATTTATTAACATGATAGCAAATAAAAATGTCATATATGAACAAAGTCCATTACATTTTCATCCACCTAACGAAAAAAAAGTGCAATCAATCACTAAAAGGGTGTCTTTTCTTTAAAAGTCACACTTGTTATTTACAATGCTGGGGCATGTCCTTATTCCCTCTTGGTGATCTCATTTCACTGTATTCATGAGATCACACCAATTTCCATGGCAGTGGAGCCAACAGTGCATATTACAAAGACTCAAGAAGAAGAGTTTTTAACAACTCACAGACCCAACATACTAAAGGCAAAACAAACACTGGTCTGGAAAGATCTGTCTTTCAATTATACTTCTCAACTTCCAAATGCACTAACACTGTTCAAAGGAAGCACCCATTTTAAAAATTAAATTGAAGACTCAAAGACAAATCACTTGCATTTAGGGACCAAACAGATATGGAACAAAATCTCACTTTCCCCAAAGTTCAAAATCTCCCTCTGGTCTTGTCCCTTACTGAGTTTATGATGAAGTGTATAGCTTAATTTCTGCAAACCGAGAAGGACAATTAGCTCACATTTTTATTCTGAACCCATTTCTACTTTTTCCATCTAAATGTGCTCTAGATTATTTCCAAACTACTTGACAAATGCATTCTGCAAATTGCAACTGTCTAGCAAGTTAAATTTACTCACTGCTTTTATTACTATTCTGAGACTCAAGAAGCTTTCACATTTTACTCAACAGTTTTAATATCCATGAGCAAAGTTGCATTCCCTTCCCTTTTCCCTGAAAGATCCCCACCACATCCTAGCGGCAGCTGTTACACACACGTTTTAACATCTCCATCATAAATTCCATGTGAACTCTGTAAGATTCAGAGAGAATAATAATGTTTTGATTCTTTAAGGTACAAGCAGTAAAAGATAAGATTAGGATTTTCTCTTACAGTAAAATGTAGAAAATAGAAGTTTAACAAATAGGAACAGCAATGTCATATCTGCATTACAGCATATATAGGTACATGAATATGTATACACATGAGATATGTATATAATTCTCCACTTGCTAAAAAGAAAGATTTCACAGAATAACTCTTGTATTCCCTTTCTCATGCATTTATCTGGAACATTCCCAAAGTAAACCCTGGAAAGTGAGGGAGACAGCAAGCACCTAGCTCATCATTTCCCCAAAGTCTGATAGCCAGAACCACAAGTTGTGGGGTACACAGCAGAAGGGGCAAAATCGCCAGTTCCAGACTCAGTAACAGAATCCTAATAGTAGAAATATGTATATTTTTGCATACTTTTAGAATCTCCATTCTCTGGGAAGTCTGTAACTACAAATAACAACAGATAAAACATACTCAAATTTTAGTAAAAATCCAGTATAACCAACAGCAGGGTGGTTTTTTTTATTATTGTTTTCAAGAAAACAGTAGTTAAATTTAAATCCCCAGAGTAGTTTTGCAAAACATGTCAATAAGGCACTCAAGATAACTACTCCAGTAATAAGATTACAGAAAACATTTCCCCTAAACGGAGAGGTTTTGTTACTTCTATAATATTTGAGACCACAGCTTTTAAAAATCACAACTCAACATCTGCTCAAGTCTCAGATGTCCTGCAATATAATGAAAAAGAGGAGCAGATAATGTTAGATAAGCAACATTCACCCTTGGGCAAACATGCTACCACTGAAAAAGCACGAAGGCCAATCACCAAGTCATGTCTTCACATCCTGTTTATTATTTACCAACACAGAAACTCAGCAAAACTGGCTCAGAGAAATATTGGGTCTGTAACTCATTTCTCAGTTGTCTTGTGGATCTCTCTGGTCATAACAGTCTGCCTTCATCGTGGCTATGAACCCTGCCTGTGAGGCAGACCAGGTTACATGTGTTATCTTCATACTCTGAGATGACAGAATGCTAAGCATATTATGCAGGAAAAAAAAATTAAAAATCAGAGGGAAGAAGAAAAGAACACCTGTGTTAGATCATTTGATATAAGATGTGGTTTCTTCGGAGACATGTTGCCAGTTTTTCTCAGCTTTGCTTCCAGAAGCCAAAAGAGGTCAGGTCTGCATGTCTCAGTGGGCCAGAGGGAAAGATTCTGGGCTCAGAATTTCTTGGGAGTGGGAAATAATCAGGAAGACGAAATTAATCACATAGCATCAGAATGATGGCATTTAAGTTGAGAAGTTTAGAGGAGCAAAACCACCTATACCAATTTACAGTACATGCATACAGACAGACAGACACACACACAAGACTAACATGGCACACTGTAAGGAATGAAAAGTAAACCCAGTAATTGTCCACTTGCTGAAGTTATGGATCTGTAGCCTTGGCCAAGGCTGAGCTCCCAGAGAGATATAATACTCAACTATTTGCAGACTCTTTTGCCATAACAACAGAGAAGGAAAATTCCATTTAATGAGTTAGGCCATTGCGTATTCATGATCTACAAGACTAATTGGCTACATGATTTGTAAGACAGAAAATTACTATCTATCCTGCATCCAAGTATAATTAAGAAGAAATGTAAGTACGCAGAACGCAGCTTTGGTATTGAAATTTGTTCAAAAAGTGGAATATGTCATCATTTCTGCAATTATTCCCCTGGGATCTCTAAGTGCCTAAGTTTCACCTCTCTCAGAATTTAAATATGCAGAAACCAGACATGATATCTAATAACAGTCATAATTATAATAACTTTGATGATTTTTTTTTTTCAGGCATGTAGCAGCAGAAGTAGTTCAGTATCTTATTTTTATTCCTATTCTTTCATCTGCTTCCATAGGTACACATGAGTTCCAGCTCTCAGGGAACTACAATTCTGGCAAAAGCATCTGGAACTGAGGCAACTCAGCCCTGGCATCTCAATTTGGAACGTTTTCCTATAGAATCATTATTTTTTATTTTATGGATGACATTAAGAAAATATTTATGAATGGTAGCAAAAAAACCTTGCCCAGCAACCTCCCCCATGCCAAAGTGGTCAAATAATTTATACAAATGGAATTTCCTTTCACCAAAAACCATGCAACAATTGCTTCTGGTCTGATCACTTCCTGCACTGCAACATTTACCAGGAAGTTTGTAAATCTCAGAGTTAATAATCAAATAATTTAGGAACTTTTATTTCATTTTCATTTATCCTTCAGGAAATTTTGATGTGGTAATTCTTTAACTCAGTTCTTCCTTTACCGGAAACCATGAAAAGCAGTTTTTCCAGCTGGCTGATTTTATAAAATGAATGAACAGCAAGAAATGTCCAAACTCCTTCTTGGCTGCAGTAAAATTAAGATTCTCTTTTAAACCAAAACTGACTGAATTACACAAAATACAATACCGATTTTTAAACTCTGCAACAGTTTGGGTGCCAAGGACTGTCCCTTTTTACATGCTTTAATAGAATATTGCTATGTAATGTCAACAGTTGCATCTGCTATGATTACACTCAAGGTAATGTATATACCCCCATAATTATTTTTTTCCATCAATGAAGACTATGATTGCACAGTTTGGATTTGTTACTTACTACAGAGCATGTGGCACATGATCTTTTTCAGTGTTTCCTTATTGCTCTTTTACTTGCATTTTATCAGCTTGATTAGCCAATCATCTGACTATAAAAGACATAAATTAATAACCACCGTATTTCTATATTTCTCCCATAGAAGAAAGCACACTGCCCATGTAGCATCTCCACTGATTTAGAGACAGTGGCCAAAGCCTTCTTCAGACTAAGTTAAATTCATAGTGGAATTGGTAAGCATGTCTCCATTTCTCTTGAAGGAGGCTGGCTTGGATTCTGACCCAAATCATCATGGAACATACTTAGTACAAGGCTTGGAAGCCACATAAAAATCTGCTTTCCTGTATTTGTTATTTAAATCTGTCATAAAGCAAGCAATGAAAAATACACATCATCACAATTTATGCGTGCATGTTTTAGCAGATTATTCTGATGTATAGGACATTTCTGATAAACATATTTGAACTTTATTAAGTATAACAAAGTTTAAGCAAAAGCAATGTAGATAGGGTTTCTTCTATATCAGTTTTGGTTTACTTCTCTCCTGTTCTTTCAGTTGCGGTCTAATTATTTTGAATAAATTTTAGTAATTATGCAGACTATGTATTCTTGACAATAAAGGAGAAATTAACTGCTGGACCTACTTTTTATAAATCATGTGACTCCATCTGTAAATAGAAGTAAAATTTCTTGAAAATTATAATAAAGCATTCTCTAGGTCTTCTGTTTACATATTGTAGGTATGTTCTCCACCTCATAAAGAAGTCAAAGTGCACCACTACCTCCCTGTAAAAGCGACAAAGTTTCTAGAAACTTATGACATGGTCCTGTTTTCATGATACCAGAACACATCTCTTTTCAAAATCTCCTTTGTACTGCTTTGTCCTGCTATGCAGCACTGCTCCTCTAAAATTTAGAATGTATACATCTCTCCCTTTCTGAAGGTAATCTTGGAGACAAAGCATGGACTTGTCTCAGAGCTTTTCAACAAAGTTGTTTGGGATTTAAATGTGGATATTGGAAAGCAGTACCATTAAAATAGTTCATCTCCTGTGCATGACAATTTTTATGCTGGGATAAATATGCTTTTCTAGCACACAGCACAGACAGCTGCCACTTCACTAAGGCTCATGTTACAACGGCTGTCTGATTCCAGATGGGTACATGACTCTTTTTTATTATGTTATGTTCAGTGCATAACCCCTGCAC